AAAAAGTTTATCCAGGGTAGACATTTCTTTCCTTTTTGTAAATTTATAAAAATAATTTTAATGAAAGAATTATTATGAACCTTACATGAAATAGCCTAATTAAGGTATACATCAAAATGTTAACAAAAACAACTCTTGGATCAACAGATTGATCTGGACCCATCTGGAATCCCCCGTAACAGATAAAATTTCCAGCATGGGTAAAACCAATAGAAACACCAGTCTGATTTGCAAGAAAGTATAATTTAGCATGAAAAAGGAGCACAACTTTGGCAAAACTTATTTCAAGATTATAAGTCCTTTTAAAATCGCATCACATCTTGATAGCAATCATACTTAATTGAATAGCTTTGGAAATCTAACACAAGCTGACAAGCAGGTCATCATGATAATAGCTCTATTTTTTTAAGAAAGAAGTAAGATTGAAATCTAAAGGAAAGCACTAACTATTTCATTTTCTATATCAAATATGTTTACCTGTAGGTTATTTTCTATATCAAATATGTTTACCTGTAGGTTATTTTCTATATCAAATATGTTTGCCTGTAGGTTATTTTCTATATCAAATATGTTTGCCTATAGGTTATTTTCTATATCAAATATGTTTACCTGTAGGTTATTTTCTATATCAAATATGTTTACCTGTAGGTTATTTTCTATATCAAATATGTTTACCTGTAGGTTATTTTCTATATCAAATATGTTTGCCTGTAGGTTATTTTCTATATCAAATATGTTTACCTGTAGGTTATTTTCTACATCAAATATGTTTACCTGTAGGTTATTTTCTATATCAAATATGTTTACCTGTAGGTTATTTTCTATATCAAATATGTTTACCTGTAGGTTATTTTCTAAATCAAATATGTTTACCTGTAGGTTATTTTCTATATCAAATATGTTACCTGTAGGTTATTTTCTATATCAAATAATTATGTTTACCTGTAGGTTATTTTCTATATCAAATATGTTTACCTGTAGGTTATTTTCTATATCAAATATGTTTACCTGTAGGTAAATGCTCTAAATGATTATGAGAGACGTCAAATGTACTCAGGTGCACTAAACACCCTATACCCTTTGGTAATTCACGTATCTTGTTCTCTCGCAATGTGAACATTGTTAAATTCTGAAAATATAACAAGTGATAATATAAATATAGGAATATAGACATTTTTATCATAGCTTCATGTTAATGACTGGAATATCCAATATTAGTTATCTACCTTGGTCTGTGATGTTATGTATAAGTGACAATAGCTGTCCATAAGACATTAAATACCTGCTAAACTCAAAATACAAGCTAACAACTACCGCACCTGCATCTATATAGCAACGCTAGACTTAAAAGCAAACAAATAAAAGGTTTAAACAATTCTTTAAAAAGGAAATCAAAGAAGTTTTACATCTAAAACTGTGCACATGGTCAAAATTTCATAGCTGTTCATCTAAGGACAAGAAAGTAGGTCACTTTATCAAAATCAAAGTTCAATTTTTCAGCACGTAGGTCAAATTTCATAGCTATAAAAAAAGAAATGCCACTGAAGGAATCCTGAAGGTATTTCTTTTTTTTAAAGTAACAGTTGAGAAGAGTTGTTTAATTTGTTCCTCATTTTGCAGACTCATCTAATGGGCTAAATAATACACTGATACACTTAGATGACATTTAATTTGAATCATGTCCTTATTGCAATACACAGTAATACATTCTTGCCTATCATGCCCTTATTGCAATAAACAGAAATAAATTCCTGCCTATCATGTCCTTACTGCAATAAACAGTAATACATTCTTGCCTATCATGTCCTTATTGCAATTAACATTAATACATTCCTGCCTATCATGTATTTATTACAATAAACAGAAATACATTCCTGCCTATCATGTATTTATTATAATAAACAGAAATACATTCCTGCCTATCATGTATTTATTACAATAAACAGAAATGCATTCCTGCCTATCATGTATTTATTATAATAAACAGAAATACATTCCTGCCTATCATGTATTTATTACAATAAACAGTAATACATTCTTGCCTATCATGTCCTTATTACAATAAACAGTAATACATTCCCGCCTATCAGTATTAAGATTTTTCCTTCTAACAAAAAGCCAAATCTCAATAATGCCAAACTCAATATAATGCATTTTGAAACTGTTAATGTATTTTCAAGGCATTGTTCAGCCACATTTCCTTTATTCATATAAAATACATTCATGCTAAGTGTCTTAAACAACTGACTACATGTATAATAAAATTTCTTATTAGAAAGTGTTATTTTAACTACACTGTAATCTGTCACATGACCTATTTTTGACCTAAAAATTCAAGTACCACAACAAGTATACTTGTACATCAGTTAAGTTAGTGTAACAAAAATAACCAAGAGAAACAAAAAAATTTATAGAATGAGAGCACACAGTATTTAAACTGCATACTTCTATTTTTTACAGGAAAGGTGCCGACAAATTTCTCAATATCAAGTGACATTTAACATTCACATTTGGCACGGTGGTCTTGATGTGCAGCACACACTCTGTTATGTGCCACACGTGTGTTGCGCGTAAAACGATTGTGATTTATCAAGAACAAAAACATAGCAACACTATAAACGACAAAATAAATTAGGAAACAAAAAACAAAACTTTTTATCTATAATCAGCCTTGTCAAGTCAATTAGAACTGATAAGACCTGTTCAACAAAACTAGGCATTGGATCTGACATTTAATAAACACTTCCATTTAAAAAAGTATAAACAATAGTACATTTAGGAAAGGAGCAGAATTATAAAAGTATATAAATCAGTACTGTAAATAAAGTTATGTTAAGGACATCTCTATCTATATAATCTGGTGACTATGATGAATACTATAATTATACAATGCATCATTGTTATACTCATATACATATACATTCAAAAACACCAATGACAGTTCGGACAAGTTCATTGGTGAGGAGGTTTTGGAGGGGGGAGGGGAGTGGGGGCAGTTTTGTTTGCACGTTTTTTAAGGATAAAAATCTTCCTTCATGTCTTCAAGTATGATATATCTGATTATTGAGTGATATAATGGGTCAACTGTAGTTCATGTTTCAGTACACAGATAATATGTATTTGTGTACTTGAAAAGCTATTCTTATACAAGATGTTTGTTTTATACTAAGAACAACTGTGTTCTCTTGCAAAAAAAATCTATTTCATGTAACGGTTTCAGGAACTAAAAGTTTGCATTCTGCAATTTTTTAATATTTTACAGAAAATTCAATCTGAAAATCTTGCAATACATGAATAAGCATAAGTGATTTTTCTTACTTAGCCTCAGTATTTCAAATATTTTAATATTTCTACCTTTTTTTTCCAGGCCCTATGCTCACTAAAAAGATCAGGATCAGTATCAAATGGTCCTTATTTTATTTACATTGCTTTAAATACCTAAAATTGATTGTATTTTGCTAAAATTTAAATTATACATGTACATAAACAAAATGTAAAACATTGCTGAACTCTATTTTGGAATGAAAAATAATCTGATCAGAAAATGTGAATAAATTTTCGAATCAAGATCAAAATTTAAATCAACTGTAAAATTGCCCATATCTTGTAAAATAAAAATTAATTTATTTTAAATCATATAAACATGCTATTTTAATCTATGAGGAGAATATTTAATTTTTAATTTTGATGCTATCTTGATCCTGATTCTTAAAACTTTTTTAGAGACATCCGGGTTAGGGCCTTAATATAGGGACTCATAATTAATATTAAAGTTGAACCAGACATTTCTGAATAAAATTGTGACTCAAAAAGTGATATTTATTGATGTCCAAGAGTATTGTGTATAAGACTAGATTACTTATTGATCTCACAACCAGTTAATGTGCATCTCAATGATATTGCAATCTCTGGTAACAGTATTGTAAATGATGCTAATTGAACAACTTCTTATACACCAACTCCTGGGGTCTGATATGTTAAAAATGCTAAATGACCAAAAATGAAAATCTGCAAGCAGTTACAGGGGCAGTACAGGAAGCCTACAGGTCTTAAAATGAAGAGAAGAAAATACATCAAAATTTGATTAATTTATTTGGGATAGTAAATTTAAGTTCTGGGCAAGCAACTTCTACAGTTATTGAAGGGCAAGTATTTGTTGACAATCAAGGGTAGGCAAGTCTGTCAAGCATCAGGCCTTAAAGCGTAAATAACAGCAAATATAATCATAGCGTAAGTTATATAAGAACAAGAAACATGGCAATGCCATGAAACCAGGTTTTCAATTATCACCATTGTAGATAAATATTGGTAGTTGAAATACAAATACAAGCAACAAATTGTAACACTATGTGCAATGTAAATCATGAATAATGTAGGAGGAATTGCACACAGAAGAAGAATTCACTATATATTCTGTATAAGGAAAAAAAACAAAGGGCCATAATTAGGTAAAAAATTATCCAATCACAAAACCCCGACAATATGCGCCAGGGCACTTGATGACAAGGCTTCTGTGAAAGTTTGAACAAAATCCTTTGAGAAATGTAGGAGGAGTTGCGTACAGAAGAAGTTGTTCACTATATATTCTGTATAAGGAAAAAAAAAAAACGCCATAATTAGGTCAAATATTATCTAATCACAAAACCCCGACAATACGCGCCAGGGCACTTGATAACAAAGCTTCTGTGAAAGTTTGGTCAAAATCCTTTGAGAAATGTAGGAGGAGTTGCGCACAGATGAAATTGTTCACTATATATTCTGTATAAGGAAATAAAAACAAAGGGCCATAATTAGGTCAAATATTATACAATCACAAAACGCTGACAATATGCCCCAGGGCACTTGATGACAAAGCTTCTGTGAAAGTTTGGTAAAAATCCGTAAAGAAATGTAAGAGTTGCGCACAGAAGAAATTGTTCACTATATATATTCTATATAAGGAAAAAAAAACAAAGGGCCATACTTAGGTCAAACATTATCCAATCACAAAAACAATATGGGCCAGGGCACTTGATGACAAAGGTCCTGTGAAAGTTTGGTCAAAATACGTTGAGAAATGTAGGAGGAGTTACGTACAGAAAAAATTGTTAACTATATATTCTGTATAAGGAAAAAACAAAGGGCCATAATTAGGTCAAATTATTATCCAATCACAAAACCCCGATAATATGCGCCAGGGCACTTGATGACAAAGGTTCTGTGAAAGTTTAGTCAAAATCTGTTGAGAAATGTAGGAGGAGTTGCGCACAGAAGAAATTGTTTACGCCCGTCCGCCCGCCCATCTGCCCGCCGACATACCTCAATCTAATAACCAGTTTTTTCCTTCGGAAAACCTGGTTAAAAATGAACATTCTTTTTATTCCTGAAAATTGTAATCTGCCAAGTGCAATTCAGTTGATAGCACTGTATTCAAAGCAGTTACCATAATCTCTAAACTACATGATTTGAATTTGCATGTACAAGTTGAGCATAAATATACATAAATATTAGATATATATAGTCTACAGTGTTTGCTATTTAGTCAGTACATGACTACATGTTTCGAAATTTCATCTAAAATGATGAATAGTTTTGTACAGATTGAAAGATTGGCATCTACAAGGTGTTTTAAATTATAAAACAGTAGGCACATCCAGTTGCCAAAAAAAAAAAGTTTGGAAGTGATAAATCCATGTACGGAAGAAAAACAAAGTGTTAACTGCCAACATTTCTGAAAAAGACACACTCAAAACTAGGCCTTTTAAACAAGTCAAACATCCAACAAAGTCCTATTCTTTCCCACTTTAGATGACAAGATATGTATGCACCTATCCGATTCTTATAGGAATATTTCATATCAAACTCTTACAACTGGTGAGCTAAGAATATTTTATTTTAGAATACTAAAAATTTTACTCAGCTACCGTCGTCTGCTCCCCACTGCCAAACCAATAACATTGATTACATGTTATGTTACATATTAATCAACCATGGGTATACGACGATGCTCAGTTACATAAGCCGACAAAAAAGTGAAGATAACTTACAGTTAGATTCCTAATACCGTCACCAACTGTTTTTATTCTGTTAAATCTAATCAACAGTGTTGTCAGAGATCTCAACTGGTAAACCACCTCTGGAATCTGTAAATATATGAATACATTCATTTCTTTTATTATTAGATTCCATTTGTGTTTTCGTTTGTCTATAAAGTGCATGGGTATATTTGTTGATATTGTCTGAATATTATTTTAGCTTTTTGTGTTGGATATATTTATGAGCAAAATGGAATTTGAAGAAATCCTTTAGTACACCTTCAAAACTTAATAAAACATTGTACATATCAACTATTTTGAAATTTGTTTTCATTATCAATCTTGATCATATTTCAGACAATTTTGTTATTCAACATAATCTGAATGATATACGTCATTAATAAAATTTACCGTATGTGGAAACATGACTTCCCTATGCAGCCTATTTGCAAATAATAGTGATAATTAGAACATCGCAAATAATACCAGATTTAGTTTTATATTATCAGTCAGTCGAGGAAACTAACTTGAAAGGGATAACAATGAGCTGACATTTATATTGTTCAATAAACCCATAGTTAAACTATTTTTTAAAGAAAATCAATGTATTTTCACAAGCAAATGTATGGTAATAAAAAAAACCCGCACCTCTGTGAGTCTATTATGCCTAAGATCTAGCAATCTCAATTTCTTCAAATCCTCCATTGTATCGGGTAGATTTGTCAAAGAGTTTTCATTCAATGCAAACGTCTCCAGGTTCACCAGGCAACCAATCTCTATTGGCAGTTGAACAATCTTGTTTCCATAGAGATACAATTCTTTTAAGTGAACTAATTCTTTCACAGTTGGTGGTATCACAGTAATCTAAAACAAATATATTTTTTTTTTAATCTTAATTTGTTAGTTATTAAAAAAATGACTCTGAAAAAAAAAACTCTTCTATATAGGTCAGTCAAACCATTTTTAAAGTGTGTAAAGCAATACATGTTTATCTGCTATGTGTAGTGTACAAAGTTATTGTTTGAATATTGATAAAAAAAAATTCATAATACATTATGGAAGAAATATGTTTCCATATTTACCAAAGGATTCAAGGCAAATGCATGAAATCATTGTTAAATTGTTTTAAAATCCTATTTAAAACAGCATAGCAGCCTAATATTTAGGTCCAGAACATTTATCTGTTTATGTACAATATTCATGTGTGTTAATTAAACTTAGACATACTATAAATGTTCATGTACAATATTCATTTGTGTTTATTAAACTTAGATATATTATATGTTACAACAAGGGTGCCATAGTCACAAAATACGCCCGTTTACGAAAGCTTTAGATGGAGATGGGGGCATTATGGATAAGTGTTATCTAGCAAGCAAGTTTTTATTCTTGGCACTGTGTTGTTAAATGAACCTTAAAACAAATCAGTAGGGAAGATATGCACAGGATGTGTGACCTTGACCTTGGTCGCAGGGACCTGAATTTTATGCACGGCACTCAGCCTCACAATGATGAACATTTGTGCCAAATTATATTGAAATCCCTCTATGCATGTAGAAGTTTTGCTCCAGACAAGCGTTTTTCTATGAGCTCTAACTGTGACCTTCACCTTTGACCTAGAGACTTGGTTCATGTGCAGGGCACTACGTCTCATGGTGGTGAACAATTCTATACAGTAACATTAAAATTCCTCCATGCATGTAGAAAATATGCTCTGGACAACATCTGGATATTTAATCATCTCCAGTGACCTTGACCTTGCAAATATTAACCTAAATTAAATGTGTCACACCTGTAGTCATGATAGTTACCATTTGTGCTACAATCAATCAATAAATGATGACTAAATAGTCCCTATACACATCTTCAAATTTTTATCTGAACTTTGACCTCTATGTGTAACCTTGACTTTGGTCGCAGGGATCTGAATTTTGCGTGCGACACTCAGCCTCACAATGGTGAACATTTGTGCCAAGTTATATTGAAATCCCCCTATGAATGTAGAAGTTCCGGACAAGCGTTTTTCAATGAGCTCTAAGTGTGACCTTGACCTTTGACCTGGAGACCTGGATCATGCATGGAGCAATACATATCATGGTGGTGAACATTTCCATAAAGTATTATAACAAGAGCTGTCCGTAAGACAGCGCGCTCGACTTTTTTATTGCTTGCCAATAAAAAAAGTTTTTGCAGTAAAAGGCAATACAAGAATCTCTGTATTTTTAAAGTGAACTAGTTGTTTGATACCCTTGAATATTACAGCAATGTTTATATGACATAATTTATGGTAAAGTGAACAAGTGGATAGGAATGAATTTTTTTAGATTTTTTAAGTTTTTTAGTGCTTGCCTATAATACAAAACATTGACAGTTAAGGGCCATAATTCAAATAAAATCTTTGACAGAATTACCTTCTCCTGGACATGTTTGGGAATCATGATTGTAAACAAGTATTCCAACTTTCAAATTAATATCTCAAACAGTTCAGTCAAAAAGTGGACTGGTACTAAAAACTTAACCAAGATTCTAAGTCGATAAAAGGCCTTAATTTTTAAAACAAATCCTTGACAGAGTTACCTTCTCTTGCGTACAGATGGGGGTAATGATGTGAAATAGCATTAAAAGTTTCAAAGCAATATCTCAAAGGGTTAAGGCAATAAGTGGATTTTACCCATATTCAATGTATTTTCTAAGTCAAAAAGGGGCATAATTCTGTCAAAACCTTGACAGAGTTATGTCCTTTCTTGTCTGTTGATGAAGGTCGTGATGGTAAACAAGTATGGTCAGTTTCAAAGCAATACCTCCAATGGTTTTGAAATAAAGTGAGGTGGTACAAAAAACTTAACCAAGCTCAATACACTTTCTAAGTCAAAAAAGGGCCATAATTCTGTCAAAAACCTTGACAGAGTTATGTACTCTTGTCTGTAGATGGAGGTTATGATGGTGAACAAGTATGGTAAGTTTCAAAGCCATACTTGTAATACTTCTGAAATAAAGTGGGGTGGTACGAAAAACTTAACCAAGGTGTGACGCCAACGCCGACGCCGGGGCGAGTAGGATAGCTCCCCTTTTCATAGAAAAGTCGAGCTAAAAATTCTTCCATACATGTAGGAGATATGCTCCAGACAAAATCTGGATATTTCACCATCTTTAGTGACCTTGACCTTGTATATATTGACCTAAATTATATGTATCACAGCCATAGTCTTGATAATGACCATTTGTGTTACAATCACTCAATAAATGATGACTAAATGGTCCATATACACATCTTCATATTTTTATCTGAACTTTGACCTCTATGTGTGACCTTGACCTTGGTCGCAAGGACCTGAATCTTGCGCGTGACACTTCGCCTCACAATGGTGAACATTTGTGCCAAGTAATATTGAAATCCCTCTATACATGTGGAAGTTTTGCTCCGGACAAGCATTTTTCAATGAGCTCTAAGTGTGACCTTGACCTTTGACCTAGAGACCTGGTTCATGTGCGCGACACTGCTCCTCATAGTGGTGAACATTTCTATGAAGTTTCATTAAAATCCCTCCATACATGTAGGAGATATGCTCCGGACAAAATTGGATGCCGCCCGCCCGCCAGGGGCGTTCCCATAATACGTCCCGTTTTTCAAACGGGCGTATAAAAATGTTCGAAATTATTTTTTCCCATAGGATTGCAGTTACAAGTATTAAAATGAATTGTAACAAATTTAATTTGGTCAATTTATTAAAGTGTAATATATACAGTGTATACATATATCTGCTGCCTTTATATCATTAAATTATTGTTACAACTTAAATTAAATACTTCCAAATTACCTGTATGAAAGAAATATGTTTGTATATTTCCTTAAAAGCAAATGGCGAATCAGGAAATTATTGCTAAATGGTTAAACCCCTACTTGTACTGGCAGTACAATATTTTGTTCCTCAACATTTTATTCTCTTTATACTTAATATTCATGTGTGTTATATAAAAAGAAACATTCTACATTACACAAAACAAAAAAGATTATAGAAACAACCTTGTTTTACCATTTATGATTTATAAATTTAAAGAAAAAAAATATTTTTTCAGGCATAGCTTTATATTTGGTGTACATAGTAAATAGACTTTTATAAAAAAAAATTTCAAACACTAAATTGAAAGATCCCTACTCTGACCTTCAATTTGAATAACAATAGATTTAACCACAAACATTGACATGTGCTCTTTTGTAAACAAAATGTTGTTGTGAAATTCTTATTGAATCCACTAATGTGATAATTACAATTAGACAGGTCAGGGATCTATGCATTGCCAAGTGTTCATGACTGTCATTTGATACACATGAAAATTTTAAAATTAAATACAACTTTGAAAAAAAAACAACATATCAATGATATGTTGGAACAATCCATTATTAAAAGGAGGGCTTATCTGACCTTAAAATAAAATTAAACCCTTTCTCTTCCAGAACAGAAAGTGATTGGTCGCATCAAATTCAAAACTGAGGTACCATCATAATAATCGCAATAGTTTGTAGTAAGAAAGAGTATTACATACCTGTGATTTACTCAGATCTAATCGAGTTGACTGATCTTCTTTACATTTCTTGAAAACTTTTCCCACATCCTGTGAAGAAATTCAAAATATCTTACTTACAGATTTGTAGCTATTCTTTAAATTGAACTATATGTTCTTTTTCAGAAAATCAGGCAGATAAACTGCGAGTAAAGTAGTGAATCAATAGCTTAATACGCTAATGCTCTATAAACTGAGCAAAAAGGCCGAAATTAATGTTGTCCTAGTTAAACAAAAAGTTCCAGGCCTAGTCACAATGATGTTACACATTATGTATTTTATGTTACTCAGACTGAACCGACTCTTGATTAGTCTTAGTGATCTGTTTAGAAACGGGGAATAATTTGGTAAAAATCAATGCAAAGCTTAGTCTTGGTGGTAAGTGACCAACAGTTATGATCCCAAATACAACTGCAGATTAAAGTGAATACCGTCAGTGGTTGCAGAGACAGGACTAGCATGCAAAATATTAACCAGGTCTTGTCAAAATCTGCAATTGGGTAACTCACTAAATTATGAAATATGGGTCTTTAACAGTGACTACCCAAAGACATGTGTTAAGCTTTAAGTGAAAATATTACTGAATAACGATAATGATTATAGATATATGAAGTTAAATGCTAAATTTTCAATGCAACTGTGGCTGTGAATAGGAATTCTGTATTACTATTAGGATAGCGGCTAGCCACAATATTCTACATTATAGTGGAGCTAAAAATAATTGCATAGTTATAATTTCCATGTTATTTGCGATTAATGGCCAATTTTTCAGTAATTTTCACCATATTTCTACTGCGTTACTAACGCAGTAAGGGTTAATTTTGCATATTTTAACCTCTTTTTTGTAATTTACATCGATTTTAAGTGCCATTTGAAATGTGCATATTATTTTCTCTGTCAGCTTAACAATATTTTACTTTTGAATACATTTTCAAAATTTTCATGAACATTAGCAGGAATCTGGAGGCATGCTGCTTTAATACTTATTTTTACGTTTCTTGTCTGTAATAAATCCTTTTTAAATATAACAAGATATGTTTGTAAAACATGTATGCCCCCTATCAGCAGCCAATTATTCATGTGATAAGGTAATTATGCATGACTTCTGACCCAGTGATCAAACAATTAATAAGGGTTATCAAGTATCTACTGGTCATGACCTTGACCTTTGACCCCTTGACCCAAAACTCAATAGGGGTCATCTGCTGGTCAAGACAAATCATCATACAAAGTTTGAAGTTCCTAGGCCTAAGCGTTTTTACTTAATTGATCAGAAACCGTTTTTACTTTACAAGGTCAATGTGACCTTGACCTTTGACCCCTTGACCCCAAAATCAATAGGGGTCATTTGCTGGTCATGACTAATCACCATGCCAAGTTTGAAGTTTCCTAGGCCTAAGGGTTCTTTTATTATTGATCCGAAACCCTTTTAACATACAAGGTCAATGTGACCTTGACCTTTGACCCCAAAATCAATAGGGGTCATCTGCTGATCATGACCAATCACTATGCCAAGTTTGAAGTTATAGGCCGAAGTGTTCTTTAGTTATTGATCAGAAACCGTTTTTACTTACAAGGTCAATGTGACCTTGACCTTTGACCCCTTGATCCCAAAATCGAAAGGGGTAATCTGCTGGTCATGAACAATCACCATACCAAGTTTGAAGTTCCTTAGGCCTAAGCGTTCTTAAGTTATTGATCAGAAACCGTTTTTACTTACAAGGTCGATGTGACCTTTGACCTTTGACCCTTGACCCAAAACTCAATAGGGGTCATCTGCTGGTCACCACCAATCATCATACAAAGTTTGAAGTTCCTAGGCCTAAGCGTTTTTAGTTAATGATCGGAAAACCGTTTTTACCTACAAGGTCAATGTTACATGACCTTTGACCCCTTGACCCTAAAAACAATAGGTCATCTGCTGGTCATGACCAATCACCATACCAAGTTTGAAGTTCCTAGGCCTAAGGGTTCTTAAGTTATTGATCGGAAAGCATTTTTACCTACAAGGTCAATGTGACCTTTCCCTTTGACCCCTTAACCCAAAATCAGTAGGGGTCATCTACTGATCATGACCAATCACCATACCAAGTTTTGAAGTTCCTAGGCCTAAGGGTTCTTTAGTTATTGATCCGAAACTTTTTTTACCTAAGAGGTCAATGTGACCTTGACCTTTGACCCCTTGACCCCAAAATCAATAGGGGTCATCTACTGATCATGACCAATCACCATATCAAGTTTGTAGTCCCTAGGCCTAAGGGTTCTTTCGTTATTGATCGGAAACCGTTTTTTACCTACAAGGTCAATGTGACCTTGACCTTTGACCCCTTAACTCCAAAATCAATAGGGGTCATCTACTGATCATGACCAATCACCATATCAAGTTTGAAGTCCCTAGGCCTAAGGGTTCTTTCGTTATTGATCGGAAACCGTTTTACCTACAAGGTCAATGTGACCTTGACCTTTGACCACTTAACCCCAAAATCAATAGGGGTCATCTGCTGGTCATAACCAATCACCATACCAAGTTTGAAGTTCCTAGGCCTAAGGGTTCTTTTGTTATTGATCGGAAACCGTTTTTACCCAAGAGGTCAATGTGACCTTGACCTTTGACCCCTTGACCACAAAATCAATAGGGGTCATCTACTGATCATGACCAATCACCATACCAAGTTTGAAGTTCCTAGGCCTTAAGGTTCTTTACTTATTGATCGGAAACCGTTTTTGCTTACAAGGTCAATGTGACCTTGACCTTTGACCCCTTGACCCCAAAATCAATAGGGGTCATCTACTGATCATGACAAATCACCATACCAAGTTTGAAGTTCCTAGGCCTTAAGGTTCTTTAGTTATTGATCGGAAACCGTTTTTGCTTACAAGGTCAATGTGACCTTGACCTTTGACCCCTTGACCCCAAAATCAATAGGGGTCATCTACTTGTCATGACCAATCACCATACCAAGTTTGAAGTTCCTAGGCCTTAAGGTTCTTTAGTTATTGATCGGAAACCGTTTTTGCTTACAAGGTCAATGTGACCTTGACCTTTGACCCCTTGACCCACAAATCAATAGGGGTCATCTACTTGTCATGACCAATCACCATACCAAGTTTGAAGTTCCTAGGCCTAAGGGTTCTTTAGTTATCACTCGGAAACCATTTGGTCTACGGACCGACAGACCGACGGACCGACAAGTGCAAAGCAATATACCCCCTTTTCTTCGAAATGGGGGCATAATTATTAAGGTATAAAATTTAAAAAAAAAGACTTTTCTAGAAAAAATGTTTTATCATTGCACTTACAAGATCTGCTTTAAGTGGGTTCCTATTCCTAATCTGTTTAGGTTGTCGCTGTCCAGGCATCTGAAGGACAACAGACTTTACTACATTGCCGGCCTGTTGGCTGGCAGCAGGATTTGCACATGCTCCACTGCTCTTCTTTTCCTGAAAATATAACAAAACTAAATTAAATCTACAAAGAAATAACCTCCTACAGATCTACAAGTACGCATTAGTTCTTGGCTTTTTCATAATAAAGCCTAGAGATTATATGAATATAATGACACTATGATAGTTATCAGAAAGTTAATAAATCATAAATGTTTGTTTTTGGTAACTGAATAAAAAGCTACATGTATGTATAATATAGAGAAAATAGTGTAAATACATAATATAAAGTTTTCTGATTACTTTAAACATTTGTTTTTTTAGCTAAATCATGAAAAAGGTTCAAGCTTTTAATGGTCTTTGTCTTACAGGTAGTCAACGTAAACATTGATGTGACCCTGGTAGAACTGGAACCAATGATCACTGGTTAGAAATAATCATTTGAGCCGCGTCGCGACAAAACCAACATAATGGGTTTGGGACCAGCATGGATCCAGACCAGCCTGCGCATCAGCGCAGTCTGATCAGGATCCATGCTGTTCGCTTACAAACCCTATATCAAGTAGAGAAACTGACAGCGAACAGCATGGATCCTAATCAGACTGTGCAGATGCGCAGACTGGTCTGGATCCATGCTGGTCGCAAACCCAATATGTTTGTTTTGTCGTGATGCGGCTCATTTTTAAAACTACATGATGACATGTAGGCCACTGCTCAACTTGATTTCTGTTTTAGGCTAAAAATCATCAGTTGCCATAACTTAACTTTTGAGAAAGAAACAGCATGAATTGGACGAAACAATGAAGGTTTTTTTAAATTTTACATAAAAAGCAGACCCCTGTGATTTTCAAATATTAAATAGTATTGGGTAACTATTCGTAAGTATAACTTAAACTTTGGTTTATGAAGATTTTATTACAGTTTGATTGTATAGGAAGCAATAAGCTTATAGATAGTTTATACACTTTTGAATCATTTCCTTTCCTTTCACTTATATATTTCTTGTTAAATTTTCATATGTTAATAAACTAATAGACTATAGTATTTAAATATTGTACAAAATGAAGAAAGAATCAATTACGTTCAGATATAAATTTAATATATAAGCATTCAGCAACAATACCGGGATGTCAAAAAAAGCTCCACTGTATATCCATTTTGTCAAACATCTAACTAAAATTACCAGTCAGTAGTATTTATAACTTAAGTATTAAATTTCTGTCTAGTTTTTAAATTTTGAACAAATATCAACAATAGGGGGGTTTCACTTTCTTTCCTTAACAATTCATCAATTATCTTAAAAAAAAATTCACCCGCACAAAAATGCCTCTGTATGGTTGAATGGCTAGACAGCAAAATGGTGCCAATTTGAAAAATGATATTCAAGAACAGTAACGAAATCTTCATGTGTACCCCAATCACTGTGATATCATTTCTGCTTTCATCCGGTCACAAAACACAATTGGGAACAAAGACAAAATGTTTAAAACGAATTTAAACACTTAAAACTAACCTTTTTTCTATATAAAAGATCTATACAAGTTTGTTTCAGACTTAATTAAGTCTGTAAAAAATGATTATTTAAAAAAAGTCAGTTTATTCACTTGAAGAAAAAAAAAGATGTTAAAATTTAATGAGGCCATAATAGGTGTTATGTTGATTTGTAGATGGATAAGCTAAATATAACTAAAGAATAAACTTTCAATGTTGCCTTTAAAAAGTTCCATCTTTTACCTACAACTAAAATTTCATTAAACCACAAGACATTTTTTTTTTAATTCAATATACAATTAAGCCATGTAAGAATTAAATACCTTATTTCCAGAAAAAATCAAAGATGATGATTCCAGAGAATTTGTAAGGTCATTTACACTAGGGTCACTTTCTGGTCCTGAATTAGCATCTTCCTGTTCCAGAGAAGACATTTTGCTATGTCCTGCAATAGGTACTTCTTTTTCACCAGTAAAATCTGCAAGTCTTGAAGCTACAGCATCATTTCCTTTTCCTTTAGTGCCCTTTTTGGATATTGACATGGCCGGTCATACATTTATGTTGTTTATTGTTTCCTGCCAACTAATAAAAAAAGTAATAGCCTCTTGTAGCCTTTACAAACAATTCACTTGTAACTCCTTCTATTTTCTTTTTCACTACTTGTGCCCAAACATCTAATTTTCATTTAAGTCAGACACATAAATTATCCAGATTGATATCTATTTCGAAACTCTTAGGTAGTGTCACATTCCTTTTCAAAAGAATGTTACTTGAATAGAGTACCAAATATTTGGGTGATGATACTGTTATTATACCGTGACCTTCTACCTACTCACTTAAAGTGTTGCTTTATAAGTGTATTTTGTAACCCACTATAGTAAATTAATATCAGTACTTAAAACTTTGTCCTGTCTGCACACTATGACAAAGGCTTCAGCATTTGATTGGGTGATAAAAACATCTGCATAACTGTTATTGAATAGAAAGTTTAAATCATTTAATCTTTTTTTAACAAAGTAGTTTAAACCAATGAGAATCTGTTTGGTTTAAGTTCACCCAATTAAGAATCAATTAACTGAGCGTAAACCACTTTAAAACTGGTAGTCAACATAGTAACTATTTAAGATCTGTCATGTTGGGAGATATTCTGTGTCACTGATTGTAAAGACAAAAACAACAGACATCAGCTGATATTTCACACAGACCTAACGAGTAGACACATCACATTACATGATCTTCTAGTAGAATCCAAAACGAGGCTGAAACACAAATCAGGAATTTTGTGACCGTCATGGCCCTGAAAAAGAAACAAGGATATTGATTGAGTGCAGAACGTGACGAATACGGGCATTAAAACTTGCGGTCAAAGTTAAATGGGCAACATGCAATCGATGCTACAAATTTATAATATTAAGTGTGATTTGCACATTTTGACAATTTATTTCAGTGACATCGATTTACTTACTATTACTTTAGTAGTTGCGCACAAGACTGCGCAAGAAAATGTAGGAAGTGACGTAAAATCAAGCTTTTCCTTGATACGGATTATACAGGCATGTGTCAAAATTATGTGCATGTTATATTTTACTATGTACACCATGGCTTAGTTTCACATAAGTCAATCTCGCAATAAAGATTTTTTTCTTTCAAGAGAAGGCATGTCTATAATTCATACTGTAAACTATTTGGTAAATTATCTTCCACAATATATAAAAGAAATTGATACAATGAGTTTTGTCACAGTTATAATATAAAGTCCGATGTTATTATGAATTTTAGGCTAGTTGTTCCGATTGCAGACGGAATATTTCATAAACTTAGCGCGCGATCTATTATATTTCAATAGGAATCTTTTCAACTTGGTGCATTATAGAGTCAAAATCACATACAAACTATGTACATGTAAAAAAGAAATATAACTAAAATCCCATGACCAAGCAAAATTTAATAAGTAATTCCAGAGACACTTAAAACTTAATAAAATTAAAATTCATGGTAATTCATGACCTAAACATTTTATTCAACATGGACAATGTTACGATTATAATTTCAAACTCAAACTCAAATAATTTTATTGCATAAAATATACAATATATATTTATAGCACATACGTACAACGAAGACATGGATTTTTTTTCAAGGAGCACAAAAATTCAACTTTAAACGCTTGAATTCATAATAAAACTTAATAATATACTAGTATATAATTTTTTGAATGGGGTGGAAACCGCTGACCTCAGATATGATTTAGATTTTAGATTTACTCAAGCAAATCCCAAAAGACCATAGACCCATGAGGACAACATATGTACAAAAAAATCAACATATGAACATAAAATGTTGATTATATGTATCAAGTATATATTTACTCATTTATTTTTTGGTTAAATATATAACAGTTTATATGCCACATAAATACATGTATAACAAATAGCACATTATATTAAGTAGAAAGACAAGATATGATTCGATATAACATAAGTGGTTTATACCACAGTAAGTAGGTATATGCTTGAAATACAGACCAAAGCTTCAGATTTTAATTTTACTTAAAACACTCGATATAATAATTAAATAAGACTGAAGAAATACATGAAAGTAAATGATAAAATATATGGCAAAATGAAAAAAATATAGGTAGTTAATATAGGTAGTTAAAGTAATGTAAAAAGATCTCACTAAAGAGAGGTGTGACGAAGCCTACGAACGTAAATCAGCCAAGTACACCCAGTTAACTGAAGACTGTAGAAAGAAAGGGTGGAAAGCCTGGCTTTTCCCAGTAGAAGTCGGGACCAGGGGCTTCCCAGCTAAGTCATTGTGGAAGATGCTGACCGAGATAGGAATAACTGGCCATCAGAGAAAGCAAGCCATCCGCTCAGTCAGTAGTGCAGCTGAAAAGGCATCTTGTTGGTTATGGCTAAGGAGAGATGAAAAGAGCTGGTGCTAACTGTCAACACACAGTGGTTTGATCACCCACTGTGGCCCCACCATATTAGAGTGTCCTAGGTATAACGGGGCGAAACACTCGATGATGTATGGCACCTACGCTGACGATGTTGACAGTTCATTTTGCAGTACATTACTGTATGAGAAACATTTCACTCTGGCACTGCCAGTGACCATCAGGAAAGACTGATTGACAACTAGGAAAGTCTAGTGACGCTGGATAGACAGACGACAGCTTGGAAAGACAGGCATCGGGGTAGGAGGGGTTAGCAGCCCTTGCTACATGTCTCATCCGAGACACCTACATACCAGCTACAGACAGAAACAAGAAACAACACCCCCAGAGCCTTCCGAGAGGGGGGGAGGATGAAAGGCTCACCAGGACGGATTCAAGGGAAACAACCGGACTCGTTCAACGGACACTGACTGGGCAGATCGCATCATCTGTTTGCAAGTGTGGGAAGGTGTGTAAAAACGCCAGGGGACTGAAGATCCACCAAGCGAGATCAAAGTGCGGTCAGCATCTACAGCATGAGCAGCGCAAAGGTTCATACCTAAGTGAGACGCAGGAAGACTCCAGCCAGGATAATCACCATAGTGCTGAAGACATCCAAGCTCATGATGAAGGGGCTGACAGCCAGTATCCCAGTTAGATGGAGAAGCAAGCAATACAGACAGCAACACCCAGTCACGTGATGAACCTAGTCAGCGACAACAACCCACTACAGAACGGAAGCCGCAAGTCAAGTGGCCTACACAGGGAGACAAGAAATAATGGCAGCTGTTTGATGGTGACCTTGATACTATACTCAGTGTAGCCCTCCAAGGCGAAGTAGACAGGAAAATACGCACACTCTCAGCTATCACATATGCAGTTGGGAAGGAGAGGTTTGGCATTCAAGAGAAGAAAGCCCCAAAGCCCTTCAAGCCAAATCGCAGGGAGATGGAGATAAAACGCCTAAGAAAGGAACTGCGTTCATTAAGAAAGCAGTATAACAGAGCGACTGAACAGGAGAAGTTTGGTCTCAGCGAGTTAAGGGACATCAACAGAAAGAAGCTAAAGAGCCTGACCACAGCTGAGAGGCTGAGGAAAGGCAGGAAGACAAGAGAGAGACAGAGAGCAGCGTTTATTTCCAACCCGCACAAGTTCTCCAAAACCCTGCTCAGTGATGAGAAGTCAGGAAGACTGACAAGCAGCAAAGAGGAAACTGAGGAGTACCTGAAAACAGCACACGCTGACTCCCAGAGAGATGATCCATTGGGGGAATGCTCGCAGATACGCCCAGTGGACCCACCTGCACATCTATTCACGTTGACTGAACCAACACTGAGAGAAGTTCGTGAGGTGGTGAGGAAGGCCCGATCAGGGTCAGCCCCAGGACCAAGTGGGATCCCTTATAAGGTCTACAAGAACTGCCCGAAGCTGTTGAAGAAACTGTGGTACCTCATCAAGATCGTCTGGCGTAAAGGAACAGTACCTGATTGCTGGAAGGAAGCAGAAGGATGCCTAACACCTAAGGAGAAGAAGTCGGAAAACATCAGCCAGTTCCGAACAATATCCTTGCTGAGTGTAGAGGGCAAGATATTCTTCTCAATTGTCGCCAAGAGGATATCTGCCTTCGTGACAGAAAATGAGTATGTCAACACCGCAGTCCAGAAGGTGGATTCCCTTTTTT